GATGATGATGGAGAAGAAGGGGTGCGAGGAGAGGGTGTGGGGTCTGTTGAGGGAGTGCTTCGGGACGGGGTTGGTGACGGTGAACCAGATGACGAAGGGGTTCGTGAGGGTGGGCGAGTCGCTGGATGACCTGGTCCTGGACGTGCCCGATGCTAGAGAACAATACAGGTGCTACGTTGATCGGGCTAAGATGGAAGGATGGTTGGACACCTCTTTTACATATATATAGCTAACTTTGAACTTTAGTCCATCATAACGCTTTGTTTGTCATCTTTAGACCAAGTCGGACTCAACTAGAACAGTTAACCAACTATAACTAATTTACACGATCATTGTTGTTGTCACTTGTGTGAACCTACTCTCTTTTGACAATGGGTAGGCTACTTTCATGATATGTCACCAGGTTATTATAGTTGTGTGAAACTTTTGAGATTTTTGCTTAGTTAAAATTTCCACACTTAAATCAGCACTTTGAAGTATGTCTACGCACCAACAAAATCTTGCTAACATCGACCACTCCAGTCTCAATGCTCCCTATGACTAGGCCATCACTGACTCCAGGTTTGATCATCCATCTCTCGAAATTCGCTCAAGTCATGAGCATGCTTCAATAAGCAAAAGACTTGTTGTCCTTTCCAATGCTCAACATGCTACCTTATCTTAGTTAAGCTGATGGCCAAACATTTTCCTTCACAGACACCTATGGCGCGGCCAACCCCTCACCATTCATGTCAAGGCTTGTCAACGCTAATTGATAATAGTTATGTGATGGATGTAGCTTGTCGTTCATGGCCTGGTCACACTCCGCATGGTCATATCTAGATGATCAAGGGAGACAATGAGATTTGGGACATGTTGAACCGTGGCAAGGATAGATGCATCAAACCAACAAGTTCTCAAAAGTATGCCTTGAAATTTCTTGATTCTAGCATGGAAGAACTAAAGAAATCGACATATCCATTAACCTCTTATGATGGATTTAACTTGATTATTAATTGTATCAAACTCAAGCTTTGTTTTACTTTCTAATATACTATGTGATGATGTAAAGTACTTGGACCGAACCTTCGATTCTAGACTGCACTTAGAATGACCAGTTAAGTCAAGAGATTAATAACTCAAAAAATGAATACGAGTCATTGGAAAGGTTGTAGGTGGAGGCCACTAGAGGCACATGTAACCTAATTATAATTTATATAGAACGAATCATTAGTTTGATGGTCGTTTGCACCATCAAACTAATGTTTTATAAATTGTAGTGTGTGAATAGTTCCAATTACTTTTAACCGATTTTAATTCTTCCCAACCTTTTCTAGTTATTTCTAATATCAGACCATAATTTTCAAGTTCGAAAGAACATGCTCGTAACTTTTTTGTAACTCATGCTAGTTTCTTCTAATATATTTTGATTTCTTCCCATATTCAATTTTGTTTTTCTAACATGAAGGCTCGTAATTGTTTATAACAAACACGGAAGTATAAGTTTGATATATTTCAAGTAAAATCAAATAGGCTTCCATAGTGAAAGCATGTTGGTGTAATAGCAAATTAACAAAAATTGAGATTATACTCCAAAAAGAGTTTTCATAAGGCCATAAGGGTAACAAGATGGGCCTTGAAAAAAGGTTGGGTAATTAATTGGATTAGTTGGGAAATATATGGCCCACAGGCCACATAAAATTACTCAGTACATTATCCATTTATACACGTCCTCCTATTTCCTTTGTTTCAAGGGCACTCCCCACTTTCTAACCCACCCGCCAGCAATCGGGTTGTCATCACCTCGGTGATCAACCCTCTTCTCCCCCAAAATCCCAAACTCATCTCGGCTCCGTTCACAATCAAATTACAGGGTTTCAAATCCCTCCCGACCTGAGCATTCTTGACTGATTAGCTTTTTGTTTTTATTCATAGTTTTGCGTAAATACTTGTCCATTGTTCTCTAGAGAGTACAAAGTTTTTGCAGTGTAGCGATCGGAGAAAGAGATGAAGGTCACATCGAATTCGTCCTCACCCGCTTCCCTTCCCAGAGGGAGGTTCCCGCCCGGGTTTAGATTCCACCCTACGGACGAGGAGCTGATTTTGTATTACCTGAAGAGGAAAATCTGCCACAGGCGGATCTTGATCGACGCCATCTGCGAGACGGACGTCTACAAGTGGGACCCAGAAGACTTGCCTGGTATGGATGGATGTTCATCCTCTTCGTTTACTATCTCTCTATCTCTTGTTATGCTTCCATTTATTGGCTTTTTTTTTTGTGTCGGTTTTTCTTGGACCAGTGTATTAGTCTCGAGACTAGTGACAAAATGTTCTTCGGGGTTGTTGGTGTTTCTTTGATGATGGATAAGACATTATACGCATTCGATTCATTTGATTTCGCATAAGATGCCAAATTTGCTTTTTGATGTAGAACCTTTAATCCCCTGATTTACAAACTAGCATGTCTAAAAATATGAAAATGAAGACACTGGTGTGGATCATAAACAATTTAATTAGGGATACGAAGAGACAGGTTTTGTGGGAGTCGAGTGAGTAGCTAGTTAGTTTTAAGGGATAGGAAAAAACGCTTCTCCCGTAATCTGTTTTTTGTAATATTTTATCAACAAAGTTCATAGCCTATATTTCGTGATTTAAGTCCATGAGTTGATATTTGGTCTTTGGTACAATTAGCTAATAATATCTGGAATTTTCAAAAAATGCAGAGTTGTCAAAATTGAAAACTGGAGACAGGCAATGGTTCTTCTTCAGCCCGAAAGACCGCAAGTATCCAAATAGAGTGAGGTCACACAGAGCAACCGAACATGGATATTGGAAAATGTCTGGAAAGGACCGGATAATTACTTGGAACTCTCGTTCTGTAGGTGCAAAGAAGACGCTGGTCTTTTACAAAGGCCGGGCACCATCTGGTATAAGAACAGATTGGGTGATGCATGAGTACACCCTAGACGAAGAAGAGTTCAGAAGGTGCTGTTCTTCGCAGCAGGACTACTATGTACTTTACAAGGTCTTTAAGAAGAGTGGGGCTGGCCCAAAGAACTTTGAGAGTTATGGAGCACCGTTTAATGAAGAAGAGTGGGAGAAAGACGACGATAATGATGTTGAAGAAATTTTAGATCAGGAGAAAGCTACGGATCCTGTGAATGAGGTTATCGCTTTGATCGATAACACTAAAGAAACACCTAATACTCAATTTGAATGCCCAGGAAATGTTGATATCGAGGGAGTCTGGCTGAACACTACTGGAAATGAGGCCCCACTTATACAAGCCATGGCCGCTGATGAGGAGCAACATACAGGGGAGGAAGAGGATAGAGAAGGTATTATGCCAGAGCAAAATGTTCTAACCCATGTGACCACCACCTTACAACAACACGGTAATGTGCAAGACATAAACTTTGAAGTGACACAACCACCTCAAGTGGTGTTGCAGAAGGAGGCACCTGATGTGGTCACATCTTTTACTGCCACCTGTCCGGAAAAGACTCAAGATTTGGCAGGAGAGGATCTCCTTGAAGATTTTCTGGAAATAGACGATCTTACTGCCGTGTTCAATGGGGAGCAAGTGCAGAAATTGGACACTCAACTGGTTGATGGTTTTGACGGGTTGGGTGGATTTGACATGTATCAAGATGCTGCATCAGTGTTTCTTGATGATGATGGTGTGGGGGGGACAATGGAAGGCTGCGGGCAGGCTGCTGCTACTGAACCACCACACCATGTGAACAACAATGCCATTGTAAACCCAGTCTCCACTTTCTTCAGTGACTTTCCTGAACTGGTTGTGAACAACAGCCAGCAGCAATTCTATTTCAACAACGAGGGGAATGGAGTCAGCAATCACCACATGTGGATGCCGCATCATAATCATCAGAGCCCCCATATCTTCACCACCTCTCAAGCATCAATCCAGGGGGCCATCCCTCCAGGTACTGAAACTATTGTTGTGTCAGTAATTACTGAAGTTTACTTGGGAGTTGGGACAAAGAAAGGAACAAGTGAAGTTTGTGGTGTAGGGATTAACATTGTGATTATGCTTCTTCTTCTTGAATGCTTTTACTAGTGAAAATTGTGTTGTTTGTGGTGACCTGACTCTAAGGAGAGTTCTCGGGCAGTTGTTTGCCCGAGTGGAAACCGGAGAGTTTGAGCTCAGTAGTCGAAGAATGAGCTCATCTTCGTCTTTGAAGTAGGTTATTATGATGATTTTGTTGTGATGAGGGGCTCTAATTTTAATCAATTTTTTGGTGGATGCATATTATAGGTGTAAATTACAATAACAACTATCTCATGCTGGGAACAGTTCAAAACACCAGACAGGATGATGACCCTGCAGTAACAAACTCAAGCTTCTCCGCTGCTCTATGGGCTTTCTTGGAATCAATACCCACAACCCCTGCCTCGGCTTCAGAAAAAGCTATGGTGATTAATACGAGCACCACATTTGAACGGATGACTAGCTTTGCGAGGTTGAAAAGGAAAAATGGCAAGAGCGTGAATGTCCTTGTAGCTGCAGGTACTACTACTACTACTACGACTACTACTATTACTACAACAAAAAGAAATCCACGGGGCGGCGGTGGATTTCTTTGTTTTTCTTTGCTTGGATTGCTATGTGCCATGTTATGGTTAGTCTTTGCACCTTCTTTTGACGGCGTTGCGTTGCTTAGCCGACGTCTATATTCTTCTTCTTGAATATAAACATAAATATATTTGTAAATGGGATGTTTGCAGCTATTATAATATGAAATTCTATTTAATTACTTTTGTTTATTGGTTATGGCTTTGATTATGGAGTTGGATACATAGCTTGGATGTACTATATTTTACATTTTGATCCTATTTTGTTCCTTGTAAACCATACCTCAAGATATCGTTTGGAGACATTTACAAATGGACTCGATTGTTTTGACCAGAACTAGGGACCAATAATCTCCATAGGTTCCAATATTCCATTCTACAACTTATTGTATTAATATTGTGGAGCACCATACAATAGCTAGGTATAACGGCTAAGCAATTTATTTGTAGACCGGAATTACAGGATATGAAAGATACATTACACTACAATATTCCATAATTTATGCTATGAGTATTATTATTATTATAATTATTTATTATTAGCACAAGGGCATATCCGGAGGAGGAGGCAGCATTTTCTCGTTAGGTCTCTTCCCATCTTTGACAATGAAAGTCATCTCCATTCCCCAACTCGTGTGCCGCTCCAAATGACAGTGCATAAACCACACCCCTGCATTATCCATACATTCATGTTTAATTATTTTAATTAATAACCATATTTTTGGCCTTAGCATTCATATTATTTATTTAATTCTAGTTTCATATGATCCTATGCATCTTCGTTGTCTTGATTTTGGAATTATAATGGGATCAAATGGAACATTCTCTAATAAAAACAGAACACATCTTACCTGGATTGTCGGCTTTGAACCTAATGGCGGTCCAAGCGTTTCTGGGAACGGCTATGGTGTTCATCAACGGAGGATCCACCAGGTTGTACTTGGTCAACGGATCTTTATCTCTGTCAAAATTCCCCATATCCGACCCCACCACGTAAAAACTAAACCCATGCAGGTGCATGGGATGGTCGATTCCCGCCACCAAATTCGTGCCCTGGAACACAAGCTCCACCGTCGACCCGTACTCCAGCACCACCACCTTTGCCGTCTTGTTCCTCTCCGGCACCTGCAGGCTCAGCGGCAGGTTGTCCCCAGTGAAATTGAATGCCAGCGGCGGGACCCGCGGGAAGTCATCTGAGTACACTCGAGCCGCGCTGTAACGGCCGAAGTAGGCCTCGAGGATGTCGACCCCCGGGAGGATGTAGCTGTTGTTGTTCACGCTGGCGGAAAACATCGCCCCGTTGGGCCCCGCGCAGGACGATGACGTGTTGCACGGCCGGGTGTTGATGGAGACGGTGAAGAAGAGGTTGGTCGTCACGTTCAGCGGCACGTCGATGGGGTGGTCACGGTCGTCTAAGCTTCGGAGCCTCCGGGTGAAGTTGACCGAGCTGGCGTCATTTGTGTGGTCCGGGAGAACTGGGAAGAGTGGGGCCGAGGACGGGGTGTAGTTGCCGGAGTACTGGAGGATGCCGGTTGCTACGGTGCTGTCGTAGTTGACCCTGGTGGCGGTGTTCAGTGCGCGGGCGGCCATGTAATAATGATCGGAGGTTTGGTTTGGTTGGAGGAGGAGGTCGAGGGTCTGGCCGGGAGATATGACGGCGTAGTCAGATTTGAATGGCTTGGTGTAGCTGCCGTCAGTTCCGACCACCGTGAGCTGGTGGTTGGCGATGGCGAAGAACATGATGTTGTTCATCACGGCGTTCACCATTCGGAGCAGATATGTTTTCCCCCTCTCCACTGTCAACCTAAATGTGTCTGCATGGAATTATTTACTTTTTAACCAAACAATAATGATCAAATTTATAAGACCATATATATACATTTCTAATGTGTCACATAATTACTATCTCACGCATAAATAATTGTCTAAGATATACTGTAAGTTAAATATAGATGTGTTGTATAAATAAATAAATAGAGTGGGCACCATTTTGTGAGCAGGGAAATCGATCCCCGGGTTGACCATTTATAAGAAAAGCATCAGACACATTTGGATCTCCACCCGTTGCTAGGAACTCTTTTACCACTTGTTGCACGTCTGACTTCCACCACTCTCCTGCACCACCACCACCAACCATTACGTACATATTATTTTATGATTTGGGGTGTCTTTTGGTTAAGGAGGAAATAATATTTGAGAGCAATTCAAGGGGGCAAGGGTGTCTTCAGGTCGGTTAGAAGGGGTAGAAACCGTAGCACTCCCAGACCATCCCATAGCATTACCGGACAATGTCACATGAACCGCTCCGTTTGTAAATATATACCTACGTACCTAAAATGATGGGAACTTCCACATCCGGTTTTGCATAGGGATAGCGATCAGTTCCGTTGGCGGGATAGACAATAATGGCGCCGTGGACGGTGGCGCGTGACCAGTCGCTATGAGCATGCCACCAAATCGTTCCTTCTTCGTCCGACAGTAAAAGTGTCTGGGTAAAATTCCTGCCGGGCTGGATTGGACACTGGGTGATAAATTCTGGGCCATCTGACCATGGATTCCTTGGCTGTTTCACACCGTGCCTGCGGTAAATCATATTAATTACTATATAATTACCACAACAACAATATTTATGATTATAATAATTAACGAAGAATATATATACTACGAGTACAAAAATTCATATAAATATATAATTAACCAGTGAAGGGTTATGTTTTGGTTTCCATTGTTGAAGACTCGGACAATAATCGTGTCCCCTCTGTGGGCATATAGAGTTGGCCCTGGGAAACTTCCGTTCACCGTCAAGATTTTCTTGCTGCTGCAAAGCCTTGTATATTCTGCTTCTTCTACCTGCATGCATGCATGCATGGGATGCGTTGAATATTCTCATTAATTACGAATTAATAAAATGAATGACTAAATAAATCAAGAAGAACAAGAATAAAAATCAATAGACAGGGCCTTTTTATATACAGTACGTACGATGAAGGTATGACGAAGAACTTTTGCTTGGGTGAGTTGAAGAAGGGAACCAATAATGAGAAGACAATTCATGGCTAGACCTAATTTCGTCATGATGGACCACATCTCAATTACTAATTTCTTGTTTTCTTTTAGCTATTTGGAAACGAGATTGTATGTCGTATATATATGTAGTTCAACTTTGCAGATTAAAAATGTTAACACTAATAATAATAACAATAATAATAATAATAATAATAATTTATGGAACAATAATATTTGGGAGAAAGAGGCACCAATGTTAGGTGTATTTATAAGCTTATTAATTGTTACTGGTAGTAGTATGTAGTTACGAATGTTAGTTGTATAGTGGTGCGTGCATGCGGTTCAATTTAGAAATTCTACTCAGAATTTCGTTCGTGTGGAAAAAGAAGAAGAACAAGAAGAAGAAATTAAATTTCCACACGGCGACCCCGGCCTGTAGCGGGCTCCTCTCACATGTTACATTCCCTTTTGACTTTTGAGATATATGTGTCCATACACTACCGAGAATTAGGACATGTGTAGTGTCGGCCCTATGTTACACATATTTTTCAAATAGGTGTCGTTTTCCGTCTCCAAAACATCTGGCGTCCCCATACTCAAATGCTTCATAAGTTTTGAAAAAATTTGGCGTTTCACGCTTCCAACCTCGCCCCCATATAAGTCCCTGGCTCCATCTTGGTGCAACTTTGGTGGCGGGCCTGATAGAATGTAAAAATGTATGACATGAAGTGATAAAAGTATGTGTTAAAGTGCATCCAACATCGGAAGTTCAAGAGTAAAATAATTCGGTATATGCACTTTAACAGTATGTATCTAATGGTGGTGGTAAAGGAGTGAATTATCATGATTTGTCGAAATTGAAATGTATTAAATTTTGATTGATTTGAGATGAAAAAATTACTCGTAGAAGAAAAGGAAAATAGAGGGGCACTGCCCATGACCACGGTCAAGCCTGCTTCGTCATGCCAGTGGTGTTGTGGTGGTTATGCCGTGACGGAGCCTGACGCCTACTTCAAACCAGTGGAGTCTTACCATAAGAGCATGCGCAGCGACGAGGCAGTTCCTCGCTCGCTGCGCCACATCAGCTCCCTCGGCACTTTTGCCTCGCGTGGCTTCAGCCTCCCTCCACGCCAAGCGTGTGAGGCGCGAGGCATCTTCAATTTTTTTTTTATTTTTTTATTTTTTAGAAGAAATAAATTTTTTTTAAAAAAAGAGTACATCTATATAAAAAAGATAAATGAAATAATTTTTAATAATTAAAATGCATTTAAAAATCATAAAAATTGACAAAAACAATGACTTGCCACTGTACGAGATGCCTCTCCACTCACTTGTCACACGCTGACTCGATTGTCTTTTATTGGTTGAAATGTGTCACGTCAACGTGTGGCATTCCATTTCGTTACTTGCCATTGCTCGTGCTCTTAGCAAACCCACACTTTCTCCATTAGACATAAACTACGCCTTACTTTACTCCTACCTATTCTTTTAGAGAAATTTATTTAAATATGACTAAAATATAATGACTTTTTCAATATAGAACCATATGTTTTTATTTCACAAAGTAGGACCATTGATCATTATCCATTAGTCATTATTCAAATAAGTATCCACCATCACTGGACATTATTCCTCCTACTAAACATTATTAAATCCTATTTAGAAAATAAAAAAATTTAAGTCCTACATTGGAAAATGAATTACGGAGTAAGTTTTAGTCCTATTTAGTGCAAATTTTTCTTTTTTTACTCTCTACTCCCACTCTGTTAAAGAGTATCCCACATCGAAACTTGAAGAAAAAATAAACCAATATATAAGCTCTTGAGTTGAACTAAGTAACATATTGGATTCAATCTTTTAATGTGATTCTGTTCAAGTGTCTTATTACTCAATCCAGAAACTCTTTCCCCATACTAAATTCTATCACACCCCTTATTTACATTGTTTGACCAACGTGTAAAATTCAACTCCCTCTGGTACTAAAAACCTTTCATGATTTGACTCTTTTTGGTCAAATACTGACACATTTTTACTACAAATTATGAGAAAAATATACTTAATTATAATATAAATTCAATATAGTTGGATTTATCATAAGATATAGTTTTGATATATCAAATTTTTGTATCATTTATTTATTTAGATTATGTTTAATATTTGGTCAAAGATGGTCACTTTTTTACTAAAAAAGTCAAAACAACGGAGTGAGTATTTTTTAAGAAAAATATTTTATCTAGGAATTGGTATAAAAATATAAAATACAAATTACACATTTAAAAATATACAGCTAAAATACTACAAAAACAAGATTCAATAAAAATATTTTATTTTATTAAATGATCATTGTATATGTATTTTTATCAAGTGCTTGACTCTATTATAGAACAATATTTATTCATATTTTAAAAATATCTAAAATGAATGTACCATGCGTATTACTAAAAAAAACGTCTCATTGTTTACAAGACAATTCAAATTTCAAAAGTCAATGGTCGAAATGCATGTCCATTTTGAATTTGAGGGTTTGCAATGCAAACGAACGTAAAACAAAACTTTTTTAATATTACATCTATACCAAAATAAATTTTTTTTAAATTTATTATAAAATCAATAGAGGAAGATTTTACATAGCTATAAAATTTAATTTTATTCATTTTCTTTCTTGTTTTTTGTAGTCATTTGATAAAATAAAATAATCATGTCACTACTGCTTTTGTAGATATTTTGATGTAGTATTTTAATACGTAGTTTTTTTATCCTCCAATATTGTTCATAAAAATGGTTTGAAAATTATTGCAGTCAAACATCATAAATCGAAACAGACAATTTAAATTGGGATTGCGGAAGTATATTTTTTCCAAAAAACAAAATAAACTACTTTGGGACGTTAGTTAATTTTCAAGCATGCACATGTTTTATACTCTATTCGTCCCTGAAAACACTACTTGTTTTGACTTTTTAAATCAAATAGTGATTCTATTTTACCAAAAGTTAAACATAATATAAATAAATACTCCTTCCATTCCAAAAATTCCTTTCTATTTCTTTTTTCTTGTCCCACAAAGTTCTCTCTATTTTCTATTAAAAATCTACTTTGCCCTTTACTAATTCTCGACTTACATATCACATCATACCTTTTTACTAATAATCTACACATCGCATCATACTTTTATCAATCACATCAAGGATATTTTTAGAAAGTCAACACAAAATTATCTTTCTCTTAAATTTCCTAAAAATTAAAATGGGAACATCTTTATGGGACAAAGAAAGTACATGTTATAAAAATTTGATATATCAAAACTATATTCTAAAATAAACTCAATTATATTGAATCTATATTATAATTCAATATACTTTTTTGACAATTTATGGTCAAATAGTATCCATGTTTGCCTAAAAACCAAAATAGAAAGTGTTTTTAGGAACGGAGCGAGTAATTAGATTGATATTATGGACTAAAGGTAAATGTGTTATGTGGTAATTGGTAATAATGCGTGCCCGGTCAAACCGGGAAGTTTAATTTTGGACGGAGGGAGTATCTTTATGATTCACAAGTTTTCACTATATTCATTTTTCTTCTCTATTTTCGTTATTCATTTTATAAAATAATATATTCATGTCATATTTTGTTTCTTAAACTTTTGATATAGTTGTTAAATATTATAAAATAAATTATACTCGTATTGAAAATAGTTTCAGTTAAATATCATGACCGAATAAAAAACAATTTAAGATGAAAGAGGGGAAGTATAAAAGGGAAAATGGAATTCGTTCCAATTACCCGCCAGTCAATGTTTTGTTCCTTGTCGACCAAATGGTAACTAAGTCCAAATAAGTAAATTCATCGTCATCATATTCGTTTTGAACTTTGATACCCGTGAAAATTTTTCCTTTCTCTTTTTCTATCCGTCCCAAAAAATGTTTTTCATTACTATTAAGAAATCACTTTTTATATGTAGAAATTATTAATCTACCATCACTTCATATCTATTCATTATTAACATGTCATTCAAATCCTTCTTTAGTTCTTTTATCATCACATTCGAAGATATTTTTGAAAATGTAACAGCAAAATACATTTTTCTTAAATTTCTTACAGATCAAAACCTTCCATATTTTCAGAGATTGAGGGAGTATATGGAAGAAAAGTAAAAGTCACGTTTGAAATGTAACCTTTTGGAACGCATATTTACGTGGTGGCATCATATCTTAGTGGCATCATGAAATGTAACAATGTGCTGGTGCTTAATTTAAAAAATTAGTAAATGGTAGGGACTAGTAATAAAGTCCAAAGAATGTGCCCCTCGTGTTTATTTTTACCATGCCACCTACCAAATTAGGTGATAATGCTATAAGCGGACTTCATACTATTGGACTTAACACGTCTTCTCCGTCAATGTAGTGATATACTCGGTACTACATTGGTTTCAATACTCTTTTGGTTCTAATTTTTATTACAAATTAGGAATTACGAAGTAAAATTCTATAATTTTATAAATTATTTTATTTACAAATTGGTATTTAAAAAAAATAAAAAACTACGTCAAAAGTTCTACAGAATTAAGGTTGACAAGAGTATTTTATTTTATCAAATAATAAATGAAAATTGTTAAATTAAGAATATCCCACATCGTAATTTGAAGAGAAAATAAATCGGTATATAAGTTTTTGAGTTGAACTAAGTAATTGATTGAATTCAATTTTTTAATGTGATTCATCCCAAGTGTATTATTACCCAATCCATTAACACTTTCCTCATCCTAAATTCTTTTATGGTATCGAAGCCAGGTTTCTAAAAATTCTACAGTTGATTGGTCGATCGGAACTGACCCGTCCACTACTGTTGTTTTAGCTCATCTCATTTGTTAAGGTGTCTGACTGTCCGTCTAAAAGTTCATTCCTAACAGTCCATTTGTCTTTAGCCTAGTTGTTTGTATGGAAAAACGGCATGTGGTCTATATAATCCGATTGCCAGTCGGGAAGTTCATGCCCAGCGATTCGTGGTCCTTTAGTTATTGACACTTTCGATCCTTTCATTTCCTAGGGAGGGGGGTCCATTTACAAGTGGTCAACCAGTTAGATTCAAAATGGTCCGGTTGTCTACTTGAGGGAGAGTTTTAAATATTATCCCGAAACAAAACTTGAAGAGGAAATAAAATCGTATAAACTCTTGAGTTGAACTAAGTAATCGATCTTGAGTTGAACTAAGTAATTGATTGGATTCAATCTTTTAATGTGGTTCAGCTCAAGTATCTTATTGCCAATCGTTTAACTCTTTCCTCATTACTTTCAGAAACATGCACAAATAAACAAAAGTTATCAAAAGAAGAAACCAAATAAAATTGTAATCAAAATTGAGACAGAGAAAGTGTATATAAATTGTTGTTTTCGATTTACTATATATATTTTATTGTAATTCTTTTCAATTTTTTTAATATAAAAATTGATGTAAAATTTTAAAAATAAAATTTATAGATTTTAAATTATGTTTTAAGTTTTATAAAACAAAAAAGTGACATGACTTTGGTTCACGTCTGTATTAAGGAGGAATATAATGTAAGGTTTTGTGGTCCTCATTCCGTTATCATTTAGGCTCTGTTCTGTTCAACTTATTTTTTCTGATCTGATCTGATTTTTTGTAATTCTGATGTGATCTGATCTGATCTGGTCTGATCTGATTGGATCTGATCTGATCTGGTCTGATCTGATTGGATCTAATCTGATCTGGTCTGATCTGATTGGATCTGATCTGATCTCATCTGATTGGATCTGATCTGATTAATTATGATTTGATTTAAAATTCAAATCAATAATTTGATTTGAGTTTATAATAACGTTTGAAAACTGTAATGATAATTCATATTATAATATAATCAATACTTTTTATTTTATAATTATGTTTTAATAAAATAAAATTAGTTAATTTATATATTAGAATAATCATTCATATTTTAATGTAATAATATTTTTTATTTTATGATTATTGTTTGTGAAATAAGAATATTGATTTAATATTTTAATATTTAGTTCATACATAATTAGAATAAATATTTAATTTATATAAAATAAGAAGAGATAGTATTTTTATTGAAATATCTCATCCTTATAAAAGATCAAAACTTTAGAAACTCAAATTACAGGTAGCAATAAAAATGTATTTTAAAAGTATAATTAGATTGACATTATCAATGTATTTTAAAAATAATTGTTTCGACGTCTAATAATTAAGGATTAATTTCTCAGTTTTCTATTTAACTTGTTTCTAAAGTTTACTTTTTTCATTTTTAAGAAGAAGAAGAAGAAGAAGAATAATAATAATAATAATAATAATAATAATAA